GAGTAATGTCAGATTTTCTTGTTTAATGGGTAACTTTCTCAGCCATACATCTTTCCTTTTTTATATTGCTTAGTTCCCTTTTCTGCACAATTCACCAACTGTGATAACAAAAGTTTTGATGTGAAGGATTCCAGAAGATAGACACTAAGCTATTGTCACATGCTGTAAGTACGTTAAAAGGTTAGGATTATAATCATGCTGTGAAACCCACCTTCTTGACTTTTTTTGTAACATCTTTCCCAACTATCTCCAAATAAGGCTTTGCGTAACAATTGTTATGAAATGGACATCTCTGTTCACTTTTAGATGTCCCTCCATATGCCTAATTCTCAGTAATACCTCAGGATTCTATTGTACTTCCCTTATATTCTATATGTCTAAAATACAGTTTTTGCTTTGACAATCCCTGCGCTTTCTACAGCTGGTAAAAAATACTGCATGGCCCAGAATAATTCGTATCTTGACCAATGTCAAAAGCAAATGTAATAACCTATAATGAGACCAAGTTTGAGTTTGGTGGAGTGATTAAAGGAACTGGGGTAGAAACCAGAACACTGTGAGTTTTGTGCCTGCCTTAGGCACAAAGCCAGCTGGGTGACCTTGGGCCAGTCATTTTCTCTCTCTCAGCCTTAGGAAGAAAGTGATTTCAAACTATTCTTAACAATCTTGCCAAGAAAACTGCATGGACTTGTCATGACTAATTGATAGTACATAACTAATTGACAGTAGGGTTTAACTTGACTTGAAGGCACAAAAATATTAAGACCACAGCACTTACAAACACAAAGCCTTGTTATCCTCTCTTCACTTTCTAGAGGCATAAAGGGAAGCCAGGGCCTGCTCTGGCTTGGTTTAAGATAAGATAGCTCATTTGTAAGTCTCAGTTTCATGAAGAATCATATAAATGGTGTAAAATGCAAAGTGCTTGCTTTCAGTTTTAGGGGTCATTTTAATTAAATTCTGAGATAAGTGAAAGTGCTCTATCCAAAAGCTGAGTTAACAAAAATTGAAATTTGGAAGTAGGAGTGGATTTCTTTTTCAGCAACTTTGGCTCTAAAAAGCAGAGGTGTCAAACTCAATTTCATTGAGGGTTGCATCAGGGTTGTGCTTGACCTTGTGGAGCCAACGTAGGCGTGGTCAGCTCGACATCACTCGTGTCAGGGGTGCCTGTGATGGTCCGAGTGCTCTGCCAGTGAAATCGGGCTTCCAAGCTTCGTTTTCAGCTGTGACAGCCTCCTGTAACCTTCTGCCAGTGAAAACGGAGCTCAGGAGAGCTGTGGGCGGCCTTCATGAGCTCCATTTTCGGCTCAGATGGCTTCCTACAACCTTTTGCCAGTGAAAATGGAGCTTGGGAGGGCCACATACGGCCCTCTGAAACTCTGTTTTTGTTTTCAGAGGCGCCATGGGCTGGTCCTTCACTGTTTCCGGGGTGGCCCCATGGCCCAAATCTAAGCACCCCGTGGCCTGGATTCAGCCCCCGGGTCTTGACAGCCCTGCTATATAGCTTTCCTTAAGTTGAATTCAACTCCTAGTGATCTCGTGTTATGTTTTAAGGTTGTGATTTTTACACAGAGAATGATTGTGTAAAAACAATGTCCCTATATTTCAACCTAAATCTTTTGATGCCAGATATAGTACAAAGTGACTTTTCTTCTGCTGGTTCTGGAAAGCTCTTAGGACTCTCTGCAGACTTTTCTTCTGCTGGTTCTGGAAAGCTCTTAGGACTCTCTGCATTTCAGCTCACACACAATCAGCAAACTTTCAGCGTTTGGGTCATCTTTTCACTTTCATTCCAACATTATTGATGAAAATAGCTTGAGCTAAAGGAGAAATTCAATTTCTCTTGCTGTAAAACAGCTAAAAGGCAACATAATCTTAAACATCTCTTTCTGTGTGTATTAACTCTTTCTTACTATATTAACACTTTTCTTTTCAAGCTTCTTTAATAAGAAATTGAATATCTTTGACTCTTCCATTATCTTTTAAACAAAACTATTTCAAAACTTTTCCTGCAAGTCTACACATGTAAATGTATTTTTAGGGTGGAATCTTCCTGAGGTGGCAAACCTAATATAAAAAAATAGTACATAAAGCAGTAGAACAACCAGCAAGGTCAACAATCATGAATAACAGCATCCAAAATGTAATTCAAGAAGAAGCCTACAAAATCATCACTCATTTTTTTTCTGAAGCCTACAAAAATGGGCCTGATTAACTGCTAGCAGAATTTCATAGATGCAGAACTTTCCAACTCAGTGACCTAAAATGATCTTGGTGACAGGCAATTTGAATGGGGCCTCTGCTGAACATCTCAGAATGCATGAGGCTGGATGAAGATGATGGCATTTGGGGGTTCTGCTTTACACCCATATTGAGCCACTTTAGTGTAGAGGTCCACCTGTTAAAATCCAGGAGACTCTGAGTTCTTGCTGTAGACACAATACTACCTTGGTTGACCTTGAGCCAGCCAGTCTCAACTCTAGGAAGTAGGCTCTGTGTGTGTGTATTCCTACAGAGATAGTATTCTATAGATAAAAATGTATGAGTTTGTGTATGCAAGAGCAACCACAAGTTTATGAATCATTCGCTTTATGATAACGTACATGTTTCCAGACTGCTTTGTTTGTCCTTTTGGGCAATTTTAGAGCAATATCAAGTTTTGTACTACCAGTAGGTTGGCATTATTTATGAGTTAGAATTAAAATCTTGTAGGATGGCAATTCTGCTTTATCTGCTTGGGGTTTCTGAATGGGGTTTTTATTGCTATTAAGTGGAGACTCACCACAGGTGGGTTAACAGGAGACTTCCAGAAGATTGCTTGTGTTGCTGACCTTTTGTCTTCGAATGATAAATTCATTTACCCCTCTCAATAGTGCTGAATAGTGCTATAACTAGATGCTGATTGTGCAAATACCATTGTTTTTAGTTTTTTTGTTAGAAAGCAGTGATTGGCCACACTTTTACAACAGAATGCATAAAAAGAATCAATTAATTAATCAACTGAATTAACTAAGAAAGCAAAAGCTTAGTGAGGCAGTAAGAAGCTAATTGTCTAGTATGCATTGGCAATGAAATCCCTTTCTTTTTGCCAGATGTTCATTTTTAAATGTACTTCCCTGCTTATCAAGAGTTAGCAGGGATCAAAAGTCTGAAAGCCATGGAGATGTGCGGATCAGGAATGGCTTGGTGATAATTCACTGTACAATATTATAAATCAGATGCCTAAGATAACAAGAGCAATACAAATTAGCATTTGAAGGAAACAAAGAAAGCAGTATTGGTTATTCTCACTATTGTTCTTTCATGCCTACAGGAAACCAAACTTTCTACATGAAAAGCCCTTAATTCTGTAGTAGAATAACACATAAAGCAGCTAGAAGACACATGATCTAAGGGATAGATTATATTTTAGGCACAAAAAAATTAATAGAAGCATGCAGGCTATACTGCAAGGGAAGGCAAAGACTACCAAGTTGAATAGATCCTGCCATTCATTGAAACAGAAGAATTATTTGAAACAAGAATTAAAAATATAACCTGCATGCTTCAATGTATGGCAGGATCTATTCAACCTGGTAGCCTTTGCCTTCCCTTATTTTAGGCTGAACTATCTATCAGGAATATTTTAATTTCTGTGCTGAGCAGAAGGTTGAACTCAGTTGCCTTAATGGCCTTTCCAAGTCTATCTAATCATCAGGAAATATTTATGTGGAAGTCCTGAGAACTCAGGACAGCTGATGGTTTTGCAACAAACATCTGTTTTAAAAAAAAATTAAAAAAAATTTTTTTTTTAATTCTAGCAGAGAACAAAGTACATTTCCACAAGGCAGAAAATATTTCCTCAATAATTTCTAATGCTCACATTTATAATGAAATTGTTCTTGTTTCTTAATCGATATCCATTATAGTGAAGGTAGATGGCATACAGTTTATAAGTGGCTGTTGAACTGATTGTAGCTTGATAGATGTTTTTAGATTGGTGAAGAGGCAGTAATATTGTATTTTACATCTTAGGCTTCTGGAAGCCATGCGTGTCTTAGAGGCAATTGAGGCTTCTAAATCTGACCTCTAATTTTGGGTGCCCTTTGCCTTACTGCGAACAATTTGACACGAGCCTTTAATAGATAGAATAGATTTGAGAAATAATTACTTTTTAAAAGAGCAGCCTAATGCTTGAACTTCACTTCTTCATGCATTCCTTGCATTCTTGATTGAAATGTGGAGGGAAGAGAGATTAATCGTTGACCTACTGCAAAGAAAACACATTCTTTGGTTCTATAATTGGAAGACTCCTCCAAACCCCACATAACTGACTTCAGACACGTTCCAAGTACTTTATTGAGAAGGAGAGTGGTGTATCTGTCAATTAGTCTTGTGAATAATATTGGAAAGACTGAAGGGCTCATTTTTTTCTGCAGAACTTGGTATGTCAAAAAATATAGAAGCGAGCATTGGAAAATCGTTGTTGTTGGGTTGTTGTTGTTATTTTTTTGGTCATGAACATTTTTGCAATTGCATAACTATTCTGAGCCCATACCAGGGTGAATTCCTTCCATACTTTCATGGCCTTGATTTCTGAGAGCAGAAGTTCCTTATGATAACCTGTTAGGGCCTGGAAAATTCCATAAGGAAACAGAGCCTTTTCTGGTAGGTTCTCTAGTTTGCCTGCATCTAAGGTGCAAAGATGAGATGTTTTGTATATTTTAAATTATTTACATTTCACCTTCTGCCAAGAGTTCTATGTCACTTACAGGGAGTTCTATAATGCCTGTGACATTAACTCCTTTCTTTGTCTGGAAATGGTCCTGATGAAACTGATGAAAAAGCATGGCAACAACCAGGCAGGGTTCCTATATCAGGAGTTCTTGCTTTTGCAGCAGAATAGGTAAAGAAGCCGTGTAGGAGATAAGGGAAATAGCATTTCAGTAACCACTAGTAAGCATTTTCCCCTTGTTCTGTCTTCCTGGAGCCTAACATCCAACAAACATTTTCTATTTCAGCCCTTCTCGGCCTCTCGTTAACATGAATGATGCTATGGTTACTCATGTGTCCTCGGGAGCCCCCACGCCAACAAAAAGGTAGGAGTACTTGGGGATGGGTGGGTGCTGTAGGTCTTCTTAGGAGCCTCGGTGGCGCAGTGGTTAGAGTGCAGTACTGCAAGCTACTTCTGCTGCAGCCAGCTGCCTACAATTTGGCAATTCGAATCCCACCAGGCTCAAGGTTGACTTAGCCTTCCATCCTTCTGAGGTGGGTAAAATGAGGAGCCAAATTGTTGGGGGCAGTGTGCTGACTCTGTAAACCTCTTAGAGAGGGCTGTAAAGTACTATAAAGCGGTATATAAGTCTAAGTGCTATTGCTATTCTCTTTGAGATATCTGCATTTTGAGGAATTGCTGCACTGAACTCAGGTATTTGTTTCTAGAAAACAAAAATGTATTTGAGGTTTTTGGTATATTCTAAAGCCAGTTTTGAAACACCAAGACTCTTCCTTTGGATTTACTACTGCATGTGGAAATGCTGACTGTGAAATAAATCTTTGTTTTGACACTTTGATGGGTTCCCCCCTCCCCCAAATGTATATAAGTAAGATTTTTTTTTAACATGAATCAATTAGGATTTGATGGAAGAAAAAGTGGAGCTTCCTGCAAGCAGAAAGTTCTCTTTATTGCTCCCTGACTCTATTTGCAAGGCTTTTATTAATATTATCGCATTGCCTTTAGAGTTCTCAAACTGAACCTAAAACATGTTCAGTTTACAAAAAGAACCGAAGGCACAACAAACCTTGAGTCTGTTCAGCAAGAGTGTGTGTGTGTGTGTGTGTGTGTGTGTGTGTGTGTGTGTGTGTGGGGGGGGGCTTTTTCTCGTCTGTGCTGAAAAGATGTTACCTACTTGCCAGCTATGCATGCTTTCATCATTGGAAAACCAAATTTTTATCTGTTAGATTTAAGAAAACCATTGAAAGTGAATGTTCGCCTGCTGCTGACTGAAAGGGCTTCCAACTGAAGAGGAGAAAAACATTTTTGACAATTTCTGTCTCTGACACAATCTATTGTGTAACGCATCTATTGTGTATTAGAGACCTTTCCTTCTTGTGTGGGAGGAAAGTTCAGTTGTACCTTCTTTTTAAATTCCATTTATTATTTACTGTTAAAATTTATTGGCTGCCACAGGGCAACTGTGAGCAACTTTTTATTTATATTTAATAATTAAATATTATTATCTAATATTATTTAATAATTTAATATTATTTTATTATTTAATAATTATTTAATAATTGCACTAAGACAAATTCCATGCGTGTCCAATCACACTTGGCCAATAAAGAATTCTATTCTATTCTACTATGAAGAGTTTCTTGTTTTCCTGTTTGTGTAAATAATATATTTCTTTTTTATTTTCTCTTATATAAATTTAATTTTTAAAGTTTAACCTGTATAGGGTAAATATCACTTGTTTCTTAACTTGCCTGGGTAGAGTGGCTACTGTAATTAGACATAAAGGATTATAGCAATTCCTATATATTAGAGTTAGGTGGCATGAACTGCATTAATTTCTGCCACTTCCTAGGAGTTGAAGGGACAAACACTGCCATTTTCAATTCTGTCCTGCTTAAAGAGTGCCTGCTAAGAAGCTCCACCAACCAGGATAAGAAGGCCTCATAGTGGGAGTTTCCTGAAGCAACCCCCCACCTCTGAAAATGCTCCTTGAAGCACAGATGGCCCCTATTCTCATGACTTTCTAGATGCACATGAAAACACATTAATCTCCCAAGGATTCTCCCTTCAGAAGGTCTTGAGAGATTAGTAATATTAGCACCATCACTATTTACAACTTTATAATTTCTGAGCTTAGTATTCTTAGCTTAGTATTCTTAGTTCATTCTTAGTTTATTCTGATGTACACAATGCCCTGTTCCTAATAGAGTCCAGCTGGTTTCAGGTAGTTAGATTTTATTGATTGATTTGATTTGATTTGATTTTTAGGATAAAATAATTGGGCAGAAATTCAGGAGGAAAGTAAAGGGGCTGAGAGAAAGGCTGTACAGCTTCATCTCAAGGAAGTCAGAACAGGATTTTGGTGAATTTTCAGGTCACTTCAGTCATTTGATTCTGTGGCCTACAGGCAAGAACACACAAACAATACAGTGATAAAAATTATCAAAATATCCAGCAAACATAATTCTCTAATCATAAAGCAATAGTGCCATATATAATCAAAATCAAAAAGTCATCATACTCTAGTGTCTTTGACCGCCCTCAGTTTAGTCTCCAAAAGGCATGATTTTTAAAGCTTCCGGAATGTGAGAGAGTGAGAACGTGGTTCTTCTATCTGCTGGAAGAGCATTCAGTAGGAGGAGCCCTTCCATAAAGAATACTCATCTCTAAGTCCCCTCTCCACACATCACCCAAAGAGTGAAACTATCAGCAACTCCACAGGCATGCCATGGGCAAGCAGATCTTGTTTGGCATAAGCTATTTCAAAGGTAACCAGGACCCAGTCAGAGATCACTGCCTTTTTTTTTTTTTTTAAATTGCAGCCAGAAATCATATGCACAATGTTCCC